TTCTAACGTTTGGACCAGAGCCAGGCCTGATTCTAAACCAACACAGGAAGATGGGCAGGACCATGGACCTCACATCTCAAACATCACGTCATCACCCCCCTTAAAGCGCTTCGGAAAGTGTGCCACTGCCTAAGAGATAAACTCCAAACTGATCACAAGATGCGAAACCCTTAAAAATGTAAACTTGGCCAACCTTTCCTCTTCCTCATAAAGAGAAGTTACAGTCATTAACCTGTTCGTATTATTCCACATCAGTCACTTGTTTTATTAGCTACATCCAGTTCTGAATCCTTGAATTCCTCAGGCACTTGAGCTGGAAAGCCATGTCTACGCCTGCAAGCACGTGAGATGCTCTACAAACCCACCAGTTGTCAAAGGGGATCGGGGGCAAAAACCACTCCCTGGGCACCGTTTCAAGGGATGGAAACCATTCATTAGAAAATAGATTTCATTGGTGGTCCAGTGGTTAGGACTCCACGCTTCCACCGCAGGGGGCATGGGTTTGATCTCTGGTTGGGGAACTAAGATCCTACATGCCGCAGGGTGTGGCCAAGAAATTGAAAAAGAAAGAAAGAAAGACTCTGACTGGGGGTCAGAGTCTCGGAAGTGGGCCCAGGGAGCATGGCAGAGACCCTCCGAGAGCCTGCCACTGGTCAGAGGAGTGCAGGCGTTAGCTGTAAGAGAGCTTGCATTCCTTGAATCTGCCTGTCATTTACAGTATTTCTACAAATGCAACTATTAAAAAATTTTTATTTTGCCATTTTAACAACAGACTTTCATAGAAAAAAGTTTCGTAAGAAGTTTCTCGATTAACCTGGGTAAACGCATTTATGAAGACCTGAGATACCAATACTCTAGAAGGGGGAAATCTTTGGGAAAACTGAAAATAGCAGTTCTACTGAAATCAGGTCTGAAAATATCAAACCTACAAGGGAATTAAAGTAGTCACACATTCTCACGTTCCAGGAAAGGGCCGGGGGGACATACACAGCCTCCCAAGTTTCACCAGCTGTTTTCAACCCCACGTCAACAGGTTATCACGTTGGTCCCATAAGATAAGGAGAGACAGCTAAGGCCCAGAGGACGGAGCTGAGTGCAGGGGTCAGAAAGGAGGGCTCACAACACCGCAGGTCACCTGGCCTCTCTCCCACGGAGGCTAAGAAGGAAGCTCGGGGCCACTTTCTCGTGGACCCAGGGAGAAGACTGAGCAGACGCTGGACCAGGGTAGCCGGGAAAGTCTGGGATGGACTCAGGTGGACAGAGTGCATTCCTGGCAAGTCACTTAAAAGTCTCTGCGCCTGTCCCCTTCTTGAATCTGGGTGGATGACACGCTCCCTCTGGGCTATTCTCTGGCTCCTGTGGAGGACAGGGTAGTGATAACAGTATCCTAGGAAAGCCACGACCCCTGCGATGCTCCTCACGTGCCAGGCTCCGGATCAAGCGGGCTATTCCAGCTCACCGCGGTGGCCGACCAGGCCAGCACTCTCATTACTCCACTCCACAGGGGGAGATGGAGCTCTCACAGGCTGAAGGACCACGGAGAGCGGGGCCCTAACCACTGCACCACACGGCCCACCCCGGGCTCAAGGCCGCTCTGAGTCTGGATGAAGGATGGGCACCAGCTGATTGCGGCCCTGGGCCCCAGGTTTGGACAGATGCTTCGCTTCGAGAGGCAGGTGTCACTGTGGACACAGAGGCTACAAAGCCGCAGGTGAAAAAACTGGGACTTCAGCCCCGTTTCTGTTTCTGACTTCAAGGCCACGTTCTTCCTACTGCGTTGGCCAAAGGGGGCGAGTGTGACTTCGGATCCCTGAAGAGAACTCAGACAACCCCAGACACAGGGGGCACCATGGTGTGAGGCCCTCCCCGGGGGACCCTCAGCAGTAGGTCCTCGCTTTCCATCCCGAGGCTAGAAGAGGGCCCCCAGGACCCGCCTCACCCTCCCTTCTAATGTTTCTCTGTGGCCAAACGCCTCGCCCCCTCCCCACGCCCCCTAAACAACCTGTGTCACAAATAAACGCTTCTTCCCAAATGGAGTGCAGTCAGCACCGCCTTGCTCAACCTCAGATACAGAGTGACACGCGGACACGTTTCTCCGCTAGCCCGGTAATCTTATCTAAACGGGACACACGTTTCTGTGGCGTCAATTGTTCTGAGGGACTGCAGCCCATGCTGCCCCTGTGCTTCTCTCAGCTCTCACAGCCAGCTGCTCAGTGACCCGGTCCTGAAATCCGCCAGGAACCGACAACACATTTGCCAACCTGCACCAAAGACAACTTTTCCCCCTTTTGAAAACCAGGACACCACTGGATGACCATTTAATGTTCTCTTTTGCACTCACGTGACAGAGATATTATAAGGCTAGTTACATCACAATAAACCTGTTTAAATGACCTGAAAGAGTATCTTAAAGCGAAGAAAAAAAGACAGCTAAGGCCCAACAACTAACTTGTCATCTTGATCGCTTCCCAGGACATACCTATATGTAACTATTCATAGTTGGGACCCTTTTCCTGGGCAATACTAATCAGAATTATCTAAATACGTATATATGTAAATATACACACACAAGTGTATGTACACATACATATATACACATACCACATATATGCATTCGCGTGTCTCTGTGTATATATATCATATGCGTCCTGAACAGCAACATCAGCAGTTATAACTGAAGCAGGGATTTGGGAAGGGCGGGGCAGGGGAGGCGGAAAAGAGCAGAGGAGGAGTGTGGATCTCCAGGCATTTCCTTTGTAACGTCTTCCTCAATACTGGACCTTCAAACCATCATAAGAATCACTGAGGGCCTACTGGATGCTAGGCAATTGTCCTCTTCCACATGTTATTTTTCCTGAATCTTTAATTTACCCAACAGCAGCTACTTGACTATCAAAAGATCTTGATCTCAAATCATCTGCACGATTTCACAACACGCTCAATGACTACTCCTGCCCTTCTGCATGGGGCACTCCAGCTCATTCGGGGTAGCCCCAAATTAACTTGTTACTTCTACGTCCATTTTGTGGTACAGTATTGTTTAAGAAAGAAAAATGGGTCAGGTTTGCCACAGAGGAGATAAGTTATAAAGTACAGGCCAAATTGTCAGGCGGTATACAAACACCTGGCTACCACAAATGATTAATGTATTTCTAATGAGAACTGAGACCAAGATGAAGATGCTTAACTCGTTAAGTCAAATTTCCTCGAGTTTTCTTAAAGGATCACAAAATTTTAATATTAGCGTGAAGGAATAAACCATAATAACTACTTTTTTTTTATGAACAGAAATGCTAGCTGCAAATCAGGTCTGGAAATTTCACGTTTTTTAAACAGTGAGCTCTGTGCTTTTAAAACTTGTCAACTGGAGCTGCCTGAGGGAAGAACAGGCTCCTGACAAAAATCCCTGTCGCTGGACGGTTAGGCAGAGGCTGGAGCGTCCTGGGAGCCCGCAGTGGACGGCAACTTGCCTCCACCTGTAGGACCCAAGGACTGCTGTGCACCGTCTGAGTGGAAGAGAAAAGGCAGAGGACGTACCTGAAGGCGAGGGCTAGCACCACACCTGTCCCCCGTGTCTTTGTAAAATGTGCACGGCAAACTGGAGTTCAGAGCCCCCGGGGAGTCTCACCCCAGAGGACAGCCCTCACTGGGTTAACGGTTACTCAGAGCCAACACCACGGACTTCAGAGCTGAGACAGCTACCACCCCACGTCCTCGTTTCTATTTAGTAACAATAATTCATCGAGCACCTACTAAGTGCCAGGCTCTGTGCCCAATGCACATTTTCTTCCTGGAATGCATGTATCTTTCCTCATATTCCCCCTATTTTGATTGAAGAAAGTGAGGCTGAGAACGTCCAGTGAATGCCCTGGGCTCCCAGTTAGGAAGTGGCAGCGTCAGGGTTTGAACCTGCAGCTCCACGCCCACCACCGCCATGGAGCAGCACGGCCCCTTTTCACAAAGGAACGGGGCCTGCGAAGGCTAGCGGTAGGTGGACTCTAGGGCCACACGCCAAAGAGGCCGCTTCAGTGACCACTGAGGCTGTGTGGCTGTCAGAAATGGAAGGAAAAGTAAAAGGAAGCAGCTGGCCAGATGTTCCTTCCTATCCGACCATAGGGCTGGAGTTTCCGGCTGACCAACAGAGAAGCGCGGCCAGAGGAGGGGTAGTGGGCTCGGGGGGCGCCTCCAGCCGTGAGCTCTGGGCCAGGGTCTGCCAGCTCACACCGCAGCGGACCCTCCTCACACATTCTCCCCGGGTCTTCACCTGCCACCACTGTCCCCGCGGCTGCCTGCCCTCCCCAAGCGCTTCCTCAAGGATGGAACCCTGATCCGACAGGTTGGGACCCCAACACCCAGTACAGTCCGTGTGCATTAAGAGGCGCTGTGTGAACCCCCATTTCCAGCGGCCAGGTAGGGCCTGGGGGGTGATGGTCACCCAGCAGCCCGTGGCGGAAGCAATGGCAGGTGCGGGCAACTGCAGGCGGGAGCTTGTGTCTTGAAAGCCACCCCTTAAAACACAGGAGGCGAGAAGCGGAGAACTCAACTTCCTTCCACCCGTACATCCCAGGGGAGAACAGGGGCGAGATCTCCCCTCCTCCCATCGCACCCCTGCCCCGTCTCCCAGTACAGGCCAAACAGGCCCGAATGTGGCCCGGAATCTGCACCCTCAAATCCCACGAGCTCCAGGAAACGTCAAGCACAGCGACAAAACCATCGCACGCACGGGTGGAGGGGAGACGGGCGAGGGGCACGGGGTGTCGTCCCGCCGGGCTCCTCCCTCCAGAACAGCGAAAGCCCACCCAAAGCCGGACCAAGTCTCAGGTCTTCCCTGCCCCGAAAGCGCGCAGCCGCACAGCCGCCCCCTCCCGGCGCCGCGCGCCCGCCACCCGCGCACCTGCCTGCGCGCACCTGTCCGCGCACCTGCCCGCAGGCCGCCGCCCACCAGCCCCTGCCGACCCCAGCCCCACCCTCCCCGCGCTCCCTGCCCGCCCCGCGCTCACCGGCCCGCGCTCCGGCTGCTCCGGGCCCCGCGCCCCGGGCTGCGCGCTCCTGGGCCCCGGCCCCGGCCCCGGCTCCAGCCCGGCCCCGCCGCTTCCCGTCACGTGGACGGCCGAGGGCGGGAGCACCAGGCCCCGTCCGGCCTGCTGCCCCGCGTCGCCTGCAGACCCCGCCCCGGGCCGGGCTACGGGGAGGGGAGCGCCCCTCCGGCCTCAGGTGCCGGGGGTCTGCAGGGTTCCCGGCGCGCCTGCCTCAGGGGTCCGGGGGTAGACGCGCCGATCCCCGCGGGCGCTCGAGCGGAGCCTACCGGGTGCAGGGCGGGGTCGGTAACGCGGCGAGGCTGCCGCTGTCGGGGCCGCGCTTTCTCCTCCCCCGCGGCCTGCCGGACTCGCTCGCCGTCCTGCTTCTAGTACCGCGACGGCGCTGGGCAGTGCACCTGCCGAAGGAATGAATAAATCCATCCACCCATCCATCACTCCTGGGAAGGGCTGGACGGCGCTGCCACCTGACGAAGTCGGGCTGTAGGAGTGGACGGCTGCTGGTGGCCCCCCTGGAACTGAAATGTAGTGCTGGGCATGAGCCGCCCGCCTCCGGCCCACCGCTAGCCGCGAGCCCCAGGGGCAGTGTATTCCAAGGTGTCCGTACTGAAGCAGGGAGTCCTGGGGCTAGTATACCCACTCCTTAAGGAAAGCCCATCAATAGCTATTCCTTTGGGTCAAGCCACAGTGAAGACTCCTAGGTTACGAACAATCCATGCGCCTCTCTTCAATATATAGTCAAAATCCAGTTTCACGATGAAAAACGTAGAAAACTCCCTCCAGAGCTGTCAGTGCTCAATTATCAGCATAAATTATAAAAAGCCCAATTTTCTCAATGATTTTCCCTGACTTTAGAGGTCCCCTGTGACCTCAGCTTTCCTCCAGCCCCTGGGGATTACAGAATAAAACCGTCCTCCAGAACCAGGAGTCATACCAGATTCTACTCTGTGGTCCTCTGCTTCAAATGGAGAAAAACAAATGACACCCCCCCCCAAAAAAAAGTTAAATGAAGGAAATAAAGAACCATCAGGAATTAATCTTCTATGGCCTTTTACGCCCTTCCCTTCTGAGTTCATGGCCACACATGTGCCCCAGCCCCAGACAGTGCTTCAAGCCCTGACCCAATAGATCCAGTGTCACTGGCCCAGCCCAGGTGGGGAAGGGGTTTCCCAGAGTGCACAGCTATGTGTGCTTCAAGGACAAGTGGCGATGAATGGACCCCCGAGTCTAGTGCAGCCAGGGAGCTGGAGAACACCAGAGTAAATACAGCCGTCTCCTCATTTTGCCCAGGCCTGTGGAGAATATGTGACTGGTCATCAGCTCATCACTGGCCCAGCGGGAGCTTGAATCCACTCTGCGCTTTTTCATTTCAGCGCTCTACCATGGCCTGCCATGAGATTAGGTGCAGAGGTGACACCTACTGACTGCCAGCTGGACATTGGGCTAAGGGGCTCACTGCAGTGATCTCATCTAAGCCTCGCCATATCCTTATGAAGTAGCCACTGCTGATTTCTGCATTGTACACGCGAATTCGCAGACGCAAAGAGAAGTGAAAGGCTTCTCCCAAACTCCATGGAAGAAAAGAGCAAGGATAAGAACCCAGAACTCAATAACACCATAAATTTTTTTATACATAAAATTAAGTTTTGTTGGTTGAATGGTTTATGGAATATTTGTGTTCTGCTTTAAACAATCTAGGAGTGCAAACGTGTTAACGAAAAAGGGGAGTAAAGGAGGTAATTCAGAAATAATTATTTCCTTTTTCAAAGGATTTGCCATAAGATTCTTAAAATGGCAAACTCCACATGTGCTCATTATTCCATCTAGAAACATTTGTTCTTCCTGAACTTTCTGAGAAGTCTATTTCACATATGTCCGGCGGCGGTATGTAAGTAACTATTCCATAAATGTGCAAAGATCTGCATCAGGCTAATTCAATATTTCTCATGTTGTTTTGATTGGTCATATTTATGAATTATCAAAGTCATATTTTCAAAGGAATTATTAACTTCATTTATTATATTTACTAAATATCCCTTGGGCTCATACTACACACGTTAGAGTATTTTATAGAGTTTGAAAAAAATGGTCTAATAGATTAAGCGTTGAATAGGTACAACCGAATACTTTAATAGTTGTTATCTACTCCCAAAACTTAACATCCTCACTTACACATAGCAGAACTGTGGCTCTAAACAGCTAAAAACACGGGTCCAAAACATGAACTGTTTTTTTGTTCTATTCACTTTGAAGCATTTTATGGATGCTCAGATATAGTTGACAATACATCTGATAAAATATTCGTAAGTCTCTTAAATATTACACTGCCAACAAGAGGAATCAACACCCCAGGTTCTCAGTTTATATCGTGTTCACGATTCATTCATTCAGTAGACACTTACTGAGTACTTAAGTACAAGCGCTGTGCGTGCCAGGGACTGGGCGGAGATTCCAAGGACACATATGTACCCTGCCCCAGAGGAGCTCATAGCCCAGTGAGGTGATGATGCCAGGCAGGGCAGTATTTGTTCGTTTCCCTCAGCTTTGTTCTTGTCGACTACAGGCACCAAATAAAAATGTTAATGAAAACCTCATGATCTTTGAGTGAAGGGAAAATTCTCATAATAAAACTTAAGCATTTATGGTTACTATATAAAACTCACAGATAATACTGTAGCAGGAATAAACTTCAGTCTACAAACTTAAATATGCAACAAATGGAATTTTTTCTGTAACTGAGCTTTATTTCTACTTTAAGCCCCCACTCGGCTGCAGTGACAATAATCTTATCAGCGGAGGCCGGCCTCCTTCCTCAGGACTGTGTCTGGTTAGGGAATTTGTGAAGTATCAGGGGTGAGGAGAAGCGGGAGAGGTCAGGTCCTCGCATCCCTGGTCCCCACACAGATTCTGACATGCTCTTGGGCCACTCTGGGGTTTGGTTTGCAGTCTTTTGGTTTTGGTGCTGACAGGCCTGGCCCTTCCAATCACGGTAAATGCCTGGCTTGAAGGTCGGGATACCTGTAGCTTCCTTATTTCGATGTGACAGGAGTCTCTGTGAGGTGGTCTTTCTGCCTGGACACGTTTGAAACATAACCTTAGAACTTGTTAGAAACGCAAATTCTCCCTGCCCTATTTCCTACATCAGAAACTCTGATTAAAACACAGCAGACCACATGTTCTCGTACGCTCCACTCTTTAAGCCTCTGCCCAGGATGGAGCCGGGGCAGGCGTTACCAAAGACATAGTCTCTCCTTCCCTGGAGCAGGGAGGGGTGTTAGAACCGAATTCTACTCCCTCCTCTCTGACTCTTGATTTTTTTCTTCTGCCCAAGGGACGCTCTCTCTATCCTGAGATGTTTGTTTCAGAGGTACCATGAGTTATCTTAATGGCTTTAGTTTTAAGCAGGGAAGTGCTTTTAGCTTTAAACTGGAAAATATCGGCAGAGAAAAAGCGCACAGATCTCACCTGCCATAAAACATTTTTGCTGATGAAGAGCTTGAGCCTTCAGGTTAAGTCCTGAAAACCACAGGGAGAAAGAACACAGCAAGAACCGGTAACCCCATTTTCAGACTCTTAAATTCTTTTCCCCCCACCTACACCACCGTCCTGCCACCTCTCTCCCCTGATGACAGTCAACAGGCTACAACAAATGTCCGGGTAGATAGAGGTAACAGGCAAGGGACTTTCCCTGCTTTGGCTCCAACTTCACAACACTGTGAGGTGGCGTTATCATTCCCATTTCACAGCTGCGGAAGCTAAACAAAAGTGCGGCCGTGTCCCCGGCGCTTCTCAGACGTTATTTTCATGTTTGAGCAGTTTCATTCCGAGTATTATTTCAGGGAATAAATACTTGAGTGCCTACTATGTGCCAGGCGGTGGGGTTTCAGGTAATTAAACCCTCTGGCCTTACACCATATTGAAGGAAGATTAAGAAACAATAAAACGGTTAATAAAAGAAACCCGAGACGCTCCCCACGCCATACTTGGGATAACGTCTCACCCGCGCCGTCTTCCCGCGAGGCCATCCTGGGGCTCCCATTGGTCTCTGCCCCTGACGTCACAGGAGGCGCGACCGGGCGCCAATGGTGGGCCGCTCCGTGAACTTCGCCTTTCCCTCTCTTCCCGCCAGACTGGAAACGCCAATCGTTTCCTCGGCAGAAAGACCTTTCACTTCTTTCGCCCCCAGGGGTATTCCCCGGCGAGACCCCATTCGGCGCCCCAGCCGACCCTGAGAGGCGGAACGGGACGAGCGGCGCAGCCAGAGTGACGGCACACCCAGAGTGACGGCACACCCGAGGCCGCCGCGCCGGACGGGACGTCACTTCCGGGACGCTTCCTCGCGGGGCCTTGTGGGTAGCCGGCCGGGGTCTCCTGGCGACGATGATGGCGGGGGATGTGGGCGGTCGCAGCTGCCCCGATTCGGAGTTGTTGCTGCACCCGGAGCTGCTGTCCCAGGAGTTCCTTCTTCTCACCTTGGAGCAGGTGCGGCGCGCCGGGGCGGGCGGGCCTGCTTGGGGGAGGCGCTGGGACTTGAGCTCGCCCCGGGGAGTCCTCGGCGGCGCCGGACACACCCGCCGCCGGCACGCCGGCACGCCTGCCGCCAGGTCGAGCTTCTCTCCGCCCCGCTCGGGCCGGCCGGGTCTCCTCACTACCCTGTCCGGGAGAGAGACGTCCTCAGAATATCAGGAACTCCCGGGAGTTAGGACTTACGTTTTTGGGTCCTGGTGACTCGGAAAGGGGAGTCCAGGCGACCCCCGCGGCCTGGATGTAAGCAAGAGCCTCCGAAGAGAGGGGCTGGGGTAGGTCGTAGAAGAACGGAAAAGACGGCTGGCGGTCCCCGACTGCCAGGGCTGGAGGGCATCGGAGAAATCGACTGTTCTCCACTCTCACTGCGTTCAAAGATGGGGAAACTGAGTCCCAGAGAAGTGGCATCACTTCTGTGAGGTCACCCCGTTGGTAGATGGTGCAGACAGGCGAACTGGCTCTCAGTGCAGCGTTTGCTCTTTTTCAGCTGGTGTGGCCTCTGATAGCAGAAGAGAAATAAGACCAAAGAAGTGATGAGTTTTGTTCAAAGTGGTAGAGAATTACCGAAAGCTTTTGAAGGGGTTTAAGTAGCATGTTTTGTTGTTTTCCTTGTGTTTTTTTCCTCCCTCGGTACTGTTGCTCTGGTTTCCTCAAGCTCCCCTGCTAAGTAGATTATTTTAGGGATGTCAGTTACCTTTCTTACCTGTGGTTCTCAAACTTTTTAGGTAGG